CCTCAAAAGGAACCAGAGACACTTCTATTTTTGATTTGTTTATTTTCAACATGTGCCCTAATTTTATGACCCTGTTACACAAGTCATCGAGACAAATACTAGGGCATAATTACAGTTCTGAGCACAGAGCAATAAGCATAATCTGAATAGGAATGCTCTCCATCTTCCTTTTCCCTCCTATACTTCACTTCCTCAGAGATTGAGCCTGTTGTGAAACATCAGCAAGTTCTGAGTGATAATTTGAAAATAAGAACAGTCTTAAGTCATCAATCAGAACTCTGTTCACACCCTTTGACCATTTACAAATTTTAAACCATAAAATAAAATGTTAAGGTTACCACTGCATCTTTCTGAAAAAAAAAATGCAGTGATTAATATATAGTTTATTTATAGTTATTTTCAAATATTCAATGTACTGTCATTATAAAAGTATGTAGTATACATGTATATATTATTATATATTACTGTCAATAACTTTATTATTGTTTATTTAATTCTAACAAATATGTTCTTGTTAAAAACTAACCAAAATTAAACAATCATATATCGGTTTCGGCATTGGCTATCGGCTAAAATGAGTTGAAAATTATCGGCATATCGGATATCAGCAAAACTCCAATATCGTGCATCCCTACTAATAACTTAAGTGTTTTAAACTAGATTTTTATAGGATTTTTATTTTTCTTTATCTTAAAACTCTTATATGCTCAGAAAAAAATTTAGTTTTATTTTGTTTTTTGAAAGAAGTATGATCACCAAGGCTGCATTTTTATTAATTAAAAAGGCTAAATATTATTACAGTTCCAAACAGTTGTTTTCTACGTGAATGCGTTGTAAAATGTAATATATTTCTATGATGCGCAGCTGTATTTTCAGCATCATTACTCCAGTCTTCAGTGTCACATGATCTTCAGAAATCATTCTAATATGCTGATTTGCTGCTCAAGAAACATTTCTGATTATTAGCGATGTTGAAAACAGTTGTGCTGCTGAATATTTTTGTGGAAATTGTGATGCATTTTATTTATTTTATTTTTTTAGAATTCTTTGATGAATAAAAAGTTTGAAATAACAGCATTTGTTTAAAACAGATATCTTTTGTAATATTTTAAATGCCTTTACTGTCACTTTTGATCAATTTCCTTGCTCAATGAAAGTATTAATTTCTTTGAAAAACAGCTAAAGTGTTGCAAACGTTTGATGAATTCTATATTTGACATGGATGGCATATTGGCCGCAGTAAAATTACAGTCCTGCTCAAGTCTACTGTATCTAATAACTAATCTGAAATCCATCAGATGGATATTTTTATGTCTTTTAAGGTTATAGAGGAAAAAAAAACAGTGTTCCATGACCGCCTGTGTGCACAAATACAAATTACACAGGCAAAGCCCAAGCATATGGCAGCACAGGCCACCCTAATTAAACGTTTCAAACCCATCTGTGTGCACGGCACAACCGCAGCGTGACTTCAGATTTAGCCCCGTGTGTTTCAGCGGCACACGCTTTACAAATCTAGCGGGCCCAAACATGACATGCTCGGGTCGTCACGCCAGCTCCTCCACAACGCACGCTGTAGACATTTGCTTTTCCTCATTCAGAAGCAGGCCAACTCCCTTCAAACCCAGCTTTGAAAGGTCTTGATGTGCGCATGCATCAGGCAAATTGAGCTTTACAGCTCGCCACAGACGTTAGTAAATCCTGGAAAATGTAGTTAGGGCCTCAGACACGGGGTATGCGCAGCAATTTGCTCCCTGTCCACAAAATGACCTTTTTGGGCTTGCCAAATGAATACGAATAGGCAGATGCAGATGCAGGAGAAGTGCAGAGAAAGAGTAACGGCCGGGACACACAGGGATCAGTAAGGTTGACCTTATCATCCCAACAGCGGCTGCAATGGTAAAAGAAAAGGCAGTGGGGGAGATAGAGAGACTGATAGGCCGGACACGTATTTTTATCTGGAGATACATTTGTAGCCTTCAGGACTGTCTGCGTTCACTTATATCATATCTGGGATATGTCGTGTTCATGGGTTGTGCCGGAAAAGGGAATTTTTCAAGAGGTTAAACGCAATATTCCAGCACCAAAGCAAGTTATGCTCAATAAAACAACACTTGTGGCATGACAACACAAATGTAGTTCAGCTTGTGCCTCTTTTTTGTTAAAAAAGAGTTTTAAAAAGGATAAATGTTTTTATCATAAATGTGCTGGGATAAATGTTCCAAGACGTACGGTCACAGCCAGGAGAAGTGAAGCCAGGGTCAATAACCAAAACCCCACCTGATGCCTCCTGTAGGAGAATGACTACAATCAAACTTTCAGCCTTTAGGACATTCAGTTGTAAACTGCTTACAATCAAGTAATTACAGTGATGGAGCACTAATAGCCCTGCACTAATTAATCACGGATGTGGCACGAATTTTTGGATTATGTGAGAGAATGATAATAAAAATATTGTATTTTTAACTGTGCCAAAGTCTTAAAGCTAAAAAAAAGAAAAATGTATGGCAGTAGGCCTACAGAAAATGACAGCTTGAGGAAGAAATTAGGAAAATGTTCTCTGAAATCCATTAATTTATCAGGGTTTGAGAGAGAAAGAGGGAGAAAAATAACAAATGAGAGAGGACGGTGTGCTCTTAGACCTCTTAAAATACTATTTTAAGACTATCATAACAAAAAATAATAATAAATGGACTAATGGAAGAATAAGGAAGACTCTTTAATTGAGTGAAGCTCCAGTGGGAGAACAGAAAACCCTAAATCCACATGGTGGAGAAATAAATCATATTTGTCTTATTTTCTATTAAAATATCTGAACATTGTAAAAACAGGATAAAAAGGTTAAGATCATTCCTTTTGACCAACCAACCAACATAAATAAATAAATAAATAAAGAGCTGCTGCTCGCCGCCCCCTTTTCCAGAATAGGGCTGCGCCATTACAGCTCGTACCTGCTAAAAAAGCATCTGTTTTGGTTCTGATTACCATATTAATTTAAACTTCTGATATACAGTTTTCTGAGCG